ACGTGTGTCGTGGATGCGCGGCCGCGTATGAATATTTTGACCGTGTTGACAAAACCGTCGGCGAAATGATATTACGTTGTATAGCGTTCGAACCGGGAATTTCGCACGTTGTGTATGGGGCGCAATGGGGTGGGGATAACACCTAATGTTCGCGTAAAATTTCACGTTTTAGTCGTTCGCAATATATGTATATATCATTGTAATGTATTCACATACTGCGCTCGGGTAACGGTTTCGATTCGAAGAACCCGACGACGTAGTGACGAGGAATCGTACGCGAAACGACGCGTACTGTACCCGCGATATCCTGGACGAATCACGACGGAAAACGTTTTCGGCACCGCGATCGGTATCGGAATTATGCGCCAAAAATGTTCCGCTCTGCAGGGCCGTAGCGACCGAATATTGCGCCCGGGGTGAAACTTCAAAATACGCCCTTAAGTATTTCAATTTACAAAAAAAAAACAACTCACTACAAAACCGAATATTTTTTCTACGGATGTAATATAAATAATGATTTTTCCTTAAAATTATGTAAGCGTTGTTTGTTTTTATTTAAATCAATAACTTAGTAAAAATATAAATATACATAATAATTATAAGTAGGTTCATGGGTATAACATAATAATGTTTATAAGTTATATAAGTAATCACATAAATATTTAATAATATTAAGTTGCAAATTTTTCATTTTCGCGCTCTCCATGGGAATCGTATCCGGGGCGTAGGCACCCCTTTGTTACGCGGTTCTCGTGCGTGTGCTGACGTGCGTCCCCCGGTACGACAATCCGAATAACGCGCCTTACAAGGGTTATCACGTCCACGGGGTGCGTTTAACGCGTAACAAAATATACAATATGTAGACAGAAAAAAAAAATGTTTTTCACGTCTCATTCTGATGTAAATGTTAACGGAAGATAGAAAAAAAACACCGTTTCTCTTCACACCGATCGTAATGTTTTCGAGTGCGTTCATGCACGTGCCCCACGCGTTCGGATCGGTTCTACGCGGCACACGAGAGAAAATTACAGTTTTTTCGAACGCGTCGAAACGGCACCGGACGTGAATTCCGCATCGCGATCTCGGGGTAACGGACGTCCGGCAAAGGGTTGCGAAGTGCAAACAACCCAATGCGGTGAACGCGTTCGATTTACACGCGTTCTCGATCGGAATCCGCTGCCCCACGGATACGCGTACGCAGATGGAACGATGTCGTGCGCGGCGCGACATTTCAACGGGAATAATCAACATAGATCTGTGTATTTTACAATGTTTCCATGCGAGCTTACACAACGCTTTGATAGAAAAAAAAAACACGTGGTCTTAACTTTTCACATCACGTCGACGTGGCCGTTTGAAGTCCTCCCTCCCCCGGACGTATGGTACATAGTTAAGATAACCCGCACTGACAACCTAATAACGAACACAGTATTGAACACTAAACACGATTATTGACCTTTTCGAATTCAAAACTGTTTATGTAAATATCGCGTACGGTTTTTGATGTGTACACCTCTAATGGTATTATGAACGACGTAAATTTGTTGTCGTACACAATAATATCGTATGTTTTTTTTTTCTGAGTTCAAAAATAACAAAAAAAAAACCTATTACCTATCAAGTGGAATCGTACACATTTCAAATTTGCATAGAACTCTAGCATTCTATACGTAAATGGTGACGTGTCATGTTTTAATTTGAATACGAATTAATTTCAAATAGCTGAAGTGAATTTGCAGCGTTAGCACTTCGCGGGAAATTGTGTAGTGACTCTTACATGCAGTATACATGTTATTATCTCCTTATTTACGTATAAAAACGTACATGTCGGTAGGTATGTGATAATCTTTATTTAAAATGCGTTTTACTTTTTGTCTTCCGCGTAAAAACAATTTTACTTCGTCATCAGATTATCCTAAGAAAAACAATGAATATAATGCGAACAAAATTTTCTGGAATAGAATCCAAATGATATTATGACGAATTGAAGTATATTGGGTCGTAATAAAAAGTGTACTTTCGTTACGTAATGATGTTTTTTTTATTTATATTTTTATCCTATTTCTCTTTCTATATATAAATATGTTACATAAATATATGTTTTGGTCTCCAAGATAAAAATATAATTATCAAGAAACTGGCACTTGGATATTTTTAAAGAAAAATAATATAAGTAAAATCTGAGATTTTTTTTTTAGAAAAATAAATAACTGAAAACAATTATTTTTGTTCGCCGTTCGCAATTCATCAAAATACTAAGGACTGTAAGAATATTTGTACTTCCAATCGAGTTAATAATATTATTTTTTGAACATTCGACCACGAGTGCATGCAAACAATAATATAAAATTAAAATGATTGTGTTCCGCATTGAAAAGATAAATCTTGAATCAAAATTGTGTATACGCGTTCGAGACTATTTTGGAAACGTGTAGTTTCAATATTAAGATTTTTTTAAATAAAAATCGACCGGAATAGGACGATTAAGAATGTAAGACATTTAAATTGTAATATAAATATGTGCACTGAATATGAATTCGTGAACGTCATACGTTTTGAGAAATCGAACGCTATACAAAATTATATTTTACTGATGTATTAACAAACGGTGGTTCAAACAAATAAAAAATGAATCAGCTCGACATATTTTTGTAACTCGGTGAGTATAATAATTTCATATTATTAATGTCTAAATCCTCATCAGATCGATTGCTATAACTATAACTTTATGTTTACGAAACGTTGTTCACGATCGGAATATCTTTACACGAAATATTTTAGCTCGACGAGACAACGTGAACGTTGTAATACATCGTTTGTTACTCGAATGTCACAAAGCTCGCCAGAACCTATAGCTGTGTATAATTACACGGTTTAAGCACAATATGCATAATAACGATTAACTAATACATCTACAACCCAAATAATTGTGATGAGCTGCAATTAAAATTTAAAATTAAAAAAAAAAAGTCTGAATTTATTTATGGTTTATGGATTGTATGTGTTCATTATGTTATAGTATCATTACTAGGACGGTGTAGTTATTGCGTAAACACACTCACTAAATGTATTGCATCGTTGCATTAAAATAAGCAAAAAATGTTACTAATAGTTTTTAAAATTGCTTTGAAAACAACGTTTGGATATAATGAAAAAAAAAACAAATTTTTGTATTTATAAAAACAAGAAATACAATTTTGGTGATAAAATAAAGTTCAATATTTTTCGATTATGCGAGAATATGAAAAAGCAGCTAAAATCAAGCGGTACTAAGAACCAAAAAAAAAAAAATTGCCAAAATTGCAATAAAAGTAAAAAAAAAAAAAAATGGTATTCAAATCGATTTTTAAACGAAAACATGGTGAGCTCACCCAGCGATATGAGTATGTGCACCTAGAAAAAAAAAAGAACCAAACGCCATTAAAATCATCGCGCACGATAGTGATAAATGAAAATAAACTCGTCAAAACGTTTTCGAGCGCAAAGTTCAGAGTTCGCGTACACAATGCGGACGCGAACAAACGCGATTACGATTGAGGTACGCGGATTTGGTTCGAAGAAATTCGGTTGACTCATACGGGTGCAGATGTAGGTATATCGAGTATCCGAACCGGAACGTTCAGCGTGTGCGCGATCATGACATTAAACACGTAGGTACGATGTCTGGCGATCGGTTCGGTTACGTAATTGTACGAAACATCAATTATTCATGGACTGCGGCGGGAGACAGAAGAAGCAAAAAAATAACCAAACCTAAATTGTTATTGTAATTTCGCGATGACTTACGTGCAGTAATAACTGTCATCATCGTGTTTTGCGCGTAACTTCGTGACATCATGTGTTTTTTTTTTTTTTACTGTCGATACGTTATTTTCTTATCGGAAATCGAAAATAGATAATCACAATAATAATACACTCGTAGGAATGCCATTGCAGGTTATCCGTTCCGCGACCGCTCGGTCGCGACGAGCGATGGTCGTGACAAATATGATTTTGAAACGTTTTTGTTAGCGTTTCGATTTGATATGATGTTTTTTTTTTTTTGACTGTTACACATCTTTTAATTTCTATTGCATAATACACGCGCGTTCTGTCAAAATCGTCGTGTTCACCATTTCGTGAAAGAAAAAAAAAAAAAAACCTGAACTCCATTAATACACACAATAATTACTATTTGCACGGCTTTGACTGCGTACGATTACTGATCGATACGTTTTTCTACGTCGGCTGGAATTATAGTTTATAGAAAATATTGATTTGCAAACGAGACCGTTGTGTTTCGCATGCACAGATGATGTAACGTATTCTTGTTAGCGTAACAGAACCCTTGTTATTTCACAGGTAAAATTCTCAGGTAACTCTTGTGAGAAAATTCCGTTCCACGACTGCAGCCTTCGGGGATTTTTCTTGCTATTATTTCGCGATACACAATTTCCTATCGCGGTTAACTGCATCAAAAAAAAAAAAAAGTATCGTAATATATTTTTCAATTTCTATTTTTATTAAAATATTTTCTACAAATCACTAACGACTATTGTGTGCTTTGAACCTGTCATGTTTTTTCGAATCTTCATTTGAGATCGATTTTGAACTCTGAACTCTGATAGAAGAACGATTGCTTTTAAATGTCTCACGACTGCAGTTAATTATAATAATAACGAATGTCTGAATAAAAAAAAACCGTGCCAAAATAATAACCAACACCCGCGACAAATTTTTACTTCTTAATTGAATTTAAATTAAAAACGTTATTACCTTAACGTTATTAATGCCGAACATACGAAACACGTCGTTTAAAAATTAATCAGTACTCGTAAGATGTATTGAATCATTATTTTACGACAGGCATTACTGCACAGTTTACGAGTCGTTCGATTCGTAAATCATCGATTCGCCCATTTGTTATAAACAGTTTTCGATAAATACAATTTGTTTATTATGTAAACGTTAGGTTTGTAAATCAAATATGATACTAATGTGTTGTGTTTATACGGTTACAGGACGCAGAGGACTAACGTTCCGATGGCTTCTAACGAGTTAACTGCACAATTTGATCCGTATCAGGAAATGGAAAACTATCTGGAAAGAGTGGCCGTAAGTTTTGTTTCAAAGAAATGTTTTTTTAATTACAGCGCGCAATTTTACTCGAGAAGCGAAGGGGCCATTTTATAAATGTAAAATGTACACACTCAATACGTGTACTTGTACATTTATATTATGCATTTACATGTGTAATATTTTGAAATATCGTTTACACTTGATAATATATTTTTACTCCGTGTGTTATTTTTTTAACGTCATTTTCTGACTTATAGGTCGTAGTGTCGTTTTTTACTGTCAATTTTTAATCTAACCTAAACAGTAGATTTTAATTTTCTATGAGAACAGAAATAAGTTCACACTTCTCTTTGTTTTTGTCGCTTTAAATGGAAGACACGTTACTGTTTTACACCTTAAATAGTACTATTTATAAATAATTCAATTTGCATTTCTGTAGCGAAAAATGAAACTATAAGTAGTCATATTTTTATTTAAAATATGTTTCACCTTCTAATTCAGTTTCTACCTAATAAAATTAAGTGCTCCGTGTACATTTGAATAATTACAGTAGTAAACAGGTATATGGTAATTTGGTACGTCGTAAAACATAGGTTTTCGGTATAAATTTTAAATACTCTTTATTATTATTATTATTATTATAATTATTTTTTTTTTTACAATAACCTTGAAATGTATGTATATGTCCGTCATTATACGTTATATATGACACATAATACGGAACGTAATTAGGATATTTATGGTTAAGTAAAAATGTTGGAAATTGTATTCAAATCAGAATTAACCCCTCACGTTTTATACTATATTTTTATTGGCAAAATTAACGGTTACAATATTTATTCGGTGGTCGCTGTTTTCCGCAATTTTTCGAGTTAAACTTATTTCAAAATACCTTGTAGAATATAAAAATATGTAATCCAAATGGGCGAAACTAACAAATTTACGATAACGATTGTGAAATAAAATTGACTTTTTAAACATCAAGGTTGCACGAATATAATATATATTATATTTAATTGGCTTTCATTCAATCGATGATATTGCAGTTTAATATAAAAAATTATTTCAATCTGCAATGACAATATATTACAGATTATCGAAAACATGTTGTACCGATTATTTGTACGTCGAGTGATATACTATAATTCGCTGTTTAAGTATTATCCATAAAAAATATTCAAAATAATATTACTCGAAATCGAATGTAATAAAACGTACCTGATAATATATTCATAATAAATATTCAATCGAAAAACTTTTAAACGAACAGTGTCAAGAGAAAGAATAGTGCTGCAACTAAACGTAAGACAATGTATGTGTAATAGTCGATCGTACGAGCATAAGGAGCAATTAAACGATTCGTTCGTTCAAGTGTTTTCAATGTTGTCCACATATTTTCAAAGTTATTTTATTCCTTATACTTAAGCAAAAATTTTCTTTAAAATTGTTGTTCTTAACATTTCGTCCAACTGAAATAATTGAAATAATAATTGTTGGTTTTCTTTGTAAATGTATAGTTAAATTGTTTATAGAATAATATTTTGTTACGTTGTGAATTGCATATAAGCAGCGGAGTGAGCTACAAGAAAGTCGCGAGTCATTTTTAAACATTTCACAATAATTAATTAAAATTATATAATTATTATGATAAAGAAAATAACGTTTGTGACTTTTAATATTTACGTTACGAGCTCTTATCATGTAAACGACGCGAAGAGTTTTGTCCGATTTAGAATATCGATGTACGTTTTCTTTGAGTGATTTCATTTTCACGATTATTTTATATTTATGTGGTAAAAATAACCTTATTGATGTACACAACGTAACATTTGAAAATAATATCCTTTGAAATAAAACCACTGTACCGATATTATCTTAAATTCGTTGGATAATATATTTCTTATACAAACACTGAAACACAACTTTTCATTTTGTTTTTTCTTGTTGTTTACCTGTTTCAGCATTATTACATTTTATTACGATTTTATTTTACAAAAGTATAAAGCAAATATTGTTCCGTTTTGGTGGTATTGTAATGCTATTATGCTTAAACAACACACACCGTGAAAACATATTCAATTCCATTAGCCGCAACATTAACATGAGGTTTGGCTGTGCCGTTTGTGAGAATAATGGTAAACATTTCATTTACGAATGATCTTCGAAACTTACATTTCGTACGATGTTGTTTCTTACAAACTGCTGTACATAATGTTTTATCGAACGAGCTACGACGTTGTGGTCTTACGTATTCCGTTATTTAATAATAAATACTCATCCGACGTTTCGTTAATTAACAGTCTATTATCTTCGCATTGGTGCATTTACGCTTGACGACAATGCGTGTATTACGTTATATTTTATCATCATCACTGATGACGATGACAAAACGAAAACCGAAGTATTGGAGCATTAACGGGTGAATTCAATTAATGCGTTTCGTAATCCGTAAAACACCGTGAAAGAATAAACGAAACTTTAAAACAGAAAATCGTCGAGCAAACACCTAGTACACGATTGAGTTATGCATTTGTTCCCCGTCGATTCTCCGGCACTTGCCATCTCGGTACGTTCGGATTACGTTTTATTGTTACTGTTTTAAATACGTTTTAATGTATTTACTCCAAGCGTAAACACTAATAATTGTATTGGCATACGTCGGCATAACAACTATTTGATTATCTAACACAGTAATAAAATACGAGCTGAGCGATTATGTCTATAGATCAAAATCATTAACGGGAAACACTCGATTGTTTCCTCGGATTTCTGACTTAAATCAACCCCTCTGCAGTAAATATTTACTTTATGCAATATGAAGTATCTCCTTTAAAAATGAATAATATCCATTATAAAGTTATTAGATTCCAATTGATCATTGTTTGTTATGATTGATTTAAGAACGTTCTTATAGATATAAATTATACGTAATACATAGATATACAATATCAAAACCAACCTTGAAATAACATAGTAATACCTAAGTATTTTAATGGTATAATAATTATACCATTAAAATAATACCATTCAATTATTGAACAAATGATTAAGAAACATCATGATATAAAAAAGTTTCCATGACTATAAGTAAAATAGCATTATAATACGTTTGCATACGGTAATAACAATGTATATATTTTCTTAACCCGAGTTGATCATGAATTGATTTTCTTTTCTTTCATTTCTTTAATACAAATATTTATTAAAATTTTATTTTAACAATTTCTATGGGGACAGCGCATACATTTCTAAGCCCATAAAATTTCACTTAAATGTTTGATACTCCAAAACTTTATGGTTGTTTCGACTGCTACGTCAAAATAACTCATTTTTCACAATTTTATATTGATTAATCCTCAACAAGAATAGTATATTTGTAATCGTTATATATATATATTCTGTAGAATAATATCAACCGGGAACGAATCATACTTTTATCGCCTAAAATATTTTCAACAAGTACTCATATTGATACATAAAACACGATTTATTATTAAGTGTAGCGTATTTATTTATCAAAAAAACATTTTTCTTAAATTATTTAACTTATATCGATGCTTTTTCATACTTGTGGATGGCCAACATAGAGTTTAAATACTAGTCAATTAAATATTTGTACAATTTAAAACCAATTAAATTGAAATGTGTTTTTTAATCAATATCAATATAAGTTTAAAACAAGTATTTGACAACTTCATTTCATGTTCTTACTAACGACGCAGCAATGTGTATCTTGATAATTACTGACAACGTGTATTGTGTAAAATAACACATTATAATCATTAGTTTCATAAGAATATTCTGTATTATAGGTGATTTATAAGTAATTTAATAGTTTTAATTAATGTTCGATTAACAATGCGTTCTGCAGATTGCAATCGATAAGTGTACGGGTTTTAAATTATCTCGTGCACGCATAGCATATACAAATTTGATACTTGGGAATTATTATGATTACTATTACACGTAGTGTTATGTAAAGATAATTTTCTAATCATCTAGATGAAGATAAAAGACATATATAATAATTCAATTATCTAATTAAAGATAGAAATCATCAATTATTGTTCAGATAAAAAAAGATAATATTTTTAGATAGGTTTAAATCATAATAAGTGCTAGTATTAAATGCTAATAAGTAGCACATCTACATTTCCAACAATTGTGATTAATGTAAATTAACAAATCAAATAAATGTTATTTCTAAAAAACATTTTAACGATAAATTACGGTTTACAATATCATAACATTTGGTATCGAAAAACATATTATTTATTATTTTTTAATAATGCGTTGTTGTTTTATCTATCGAACAAAATTGAAATAAATTATATTAAAAATAAAAATTGAATTAATGTTCTTTAGTAGTTATAAATAATAAAATCGTTGTTTTTAAAATCCTGTTAAAATTATTTATATAAATATTCGGTATTTAAAATTCTCATAAAAATATCAAATAACTAACATTATGTACTAAATAATTATTAATAAACAAACACTTTATTGAAAAATTATATCATTAATTTTTTTAATTCCCGTTATTCCTTTATTTGTTCTTTCGTTTTTCTTGAAAACTAGTGAAACTGAAAATTACTAAAGTATCAACTAAGCGCGATTCGTTACCAGAAACTATTCCTTAAGTTGAAAATCGAAGCACATCTAATGCTCTAAAAGGTGATGAGAATCGCAAAATATATATTTATAAGATAAAACATTGTAAAATCAATAAATTCCTCACTCCGAATCTGAAAAGAAATGTTAAAAATTATATTTCGTCTAGACAAATTTATCCGGATTAAACGCAACACCGATCAGTAGAAGTAGTACGGGAAGTATGACGTGCGAGGTGGCTACTGTACTATAAAAAGTAATATGGCGAAAACAATAAGGTGTACAGAATGTTTTATTTCGCAACTAGAACCGTGTTGGCCAATATTGGTTTATATTTTCGTAACAATTACCGGAGGTAAATAATACGTAGGCAGGCTTTGAAACCCGTGCTGTATAAGAATCGACTTCGAAGCGAATCGAATAAAAATTAAAAACTATCGACCGGTCAACACCGCGTAAGTCGAAACGTAACGATGAAAGCTTAGCCCGGAGTATTATTGTATTCGTTGAGTTTGCTGATAAAAAAAAATTCATCGTCGGGCGGTACACGCGGAATTAACCGAGATTCGGCCGGGAGACGGAATACGCGAAATAACGAAATCGCAACTCTCGAGTTTTGCGTTTGACGAGCGGTTTAACGGGTAACGCTGCGGCGGCGTCCGAGTGCGATCGGGACGACCGGTGGATTTCCGAAAACCGGTAAGTACGTCACAACAAATCGTGCGGCGGACCGAAGGCCGGGCACTCGGTTACGCGCGTGTGCACGACGAGCGGCGGCACGTAGGCCTCGTACGCGGTGTCGACTACCGATATGGTCATACGACTTCCCACCGGTGGACGCGCGCGGCAGCGGTTACCAAACCGAGAACGCGACGCCGACGGCGGTCGGGTCGGCGTGACGCGATCGGGGTGCTTGTTTCGCCCGCGGGACATAAATTACTCGCGGGGCTACGGTTGGGCTCCGGCGGACGGGTGCGTTTCCCCGTTGGGGGGGGGGGTGCGATCTCAGCCGAAATCCTTTGGCGTACGCGGTTTGGAAACTCCTGGACGTCGCCGCCGCTCCCGATCGGAATAATAACGAACGCGCGTCGTATACGCGGATCGCGACGTCTCGGACGACATTCGCCACACGACCGGCACCCTTCGCGGACGTCGACGCGCGCGCGTTTCCAAACACGCACCAGTTTTACGAGTACGGCGGTCGGTTTAACTGTTCCCAGGAGGAGCTCGATGAGGTGTTCAACCGGTGGTCCGAGAGGTCGGAGCAGCAGCCGGGCAAACTCACGGCGAACTGGCCGCCGGACGACGGACCGGGCACCAACGGCGGCGCGGCCAACCACTTGGCCGACGGATTCGGCAATCGGTTCGACGACGTCGTGTTGGAGTTTCAACTGCCCGAACGCATTGTCTGCCAGGCGTGCACCGAAGTAACAGGTCAGCGGGTTTTCGAAACGTTACGTAACGGTACCCCCGAATCGCTGTACATTTTTTTCGTTTTCGTTACAACTGCGTTCAATCGAATATTACCGGCGTCGTATTTATTCGAGTTGTTTACATTTCTCACCGCGTGCAACTGAGATCGAGTCGAAAAGTTCCTTCGAACGTTTCGACTCGTCTTGACGGTATAGTTTTCGACAACCGCACAGCGCATGTCGTCAACGTTAATTTTAATGCAAACAAATAAACTTGTGTACACAGACGGTAATCGTATACGACCGATGTTTCAGACACCATGCGTTACCGCGTGTCGCCGACCAAACGAAAACGGTGTCGTTCTCGGTCTTCGGATCTAAGTAACCTGCAGCTGCCAGGTTTTTACGACGACCAAGCGGCCGTTTTGCTCAACGTTAAAGTAATCAACACGCCTCCTGCTCCTGTGCGCAGTTCGTCCCTGAACAGATTTCAAATGATCATCGCCCAACAACAGAAACAGGTAACGTCCCGTAGTGTTCCGATAGAAATACAAACGTTAACGCTTCGGCCGTGAGACGATGACGAAGCCGAAACGTTGAGTTGCGACTGTTTTTTTTTTTTGATTTTTACCACGATGTGTTCCGACGATTTATAGCTGGACCGGCGAGAGAGCGACGGGGGTCCTCTGGAAGTAGCCACGCAGACGTCGCCGACTTGCAGCAGATCGTCTAGTTTTACATGGTTATCCGACCGCTCGGACACGGGTAACTGTTCTTCGGCTGAGGAAGAGGCGGTGACGCCGTGCAGTTCTACGGATGATTCGGTCACTGACCATCACATCAGTTGTGGATCATCAACTGAGTCGTCCGTCACTCCACCCGGACGGTCCGACGAACCCGAATCCGGTATCGGAACCGCGTCACCGCCGCATCACCGGTACTTCAAATGTGAGTTTAACGCGATTACAATTCTCATCGGTAGACGAAACAATAACCGTTCAGTGTTAACCTAACGCGAGTTTGGTCGAATAATAATAGTTATGTCAGTAACAACAATAACGTGTTGGTGGCTTTCAAGGGGTTATTGTGTAGGCAATTTTCGATTTGTTATGACAATGTAGTGGTGGTGTGTGCGAGTGAAAAAGTATTTATGCCAGTGTTCGTGACAAAGTACGGGGAAAGAACTGTTGTTTGGTAAATTGTAACGTTGTACGCAATAACAAAAACGACTGAATGAGAAAAAAAATCAATAGAAAAAAAAATTTAAAAATCACGAATCGGATCGATAACAATTTGTTGATAGCTTTAAACATGTTTTCAAAATGCTTATCAGACTCCGCTAATCAACCTTACCGATCAAAGGAAAACTGATGGTTTAACTGTTGCAACGTTCAAATTTACAAAAACAATTGATTTATAACTGTGTATACGTTAAACATTATTTTGAAACGTGGGTTATTTAAAAATAAATGTGGCAAACGAACACACCATTCAATTGGTAGTCTTGAACATAATTTATTATCTTCCACGTTGACATGCTTTTATTTTAAAAGTTTGTGTATTTTGTAATATAATTTTACATTAAAATAACATTAGTTTCTTCGGGCCTATTTTTTATATTTAATCGTTTTACCGCTTGTTAATCACTTATGTCATTTGTATATATTTTTCATTTTTATATTTAGATAAGCTCTATAAATAACACCATCCCATAGTGGGTCAGCCGTGTATTTCTGTGGCTGGCAATGTTTATAATTTTGCATGGAGTTTATTATTCCAGAGAAAATTTGCTTTCTGACACTTAACACAACTTGTTTTTTCTATTTTTAAGTCAACGTGTATATTTTTAATATTTTAAACGACGAACATATTGGCTTATTATTATGTATCGTATGTTTACATGTTTCCAAATAACATGGATTTGTAGAAATGCTCTATAAAAAAAAAAAAAATAAAAATAAAAAAAAAATCATAAGTTAAAAATAAATAGTGCTTTATTTATAACTAAAAATATTTAAACGACCGATCGATTTTTTCTTACTAAATATCGACCGAATGTCCTGTTTGGGAGGGATCGAAGTGAAACGAGCCAGACAAGAGCTCAGTATAATTCGATTTTATTCGTTCGATTATAATATTCAAAAATGTGAACCTGATAAATATCAATTAAACTAATCGCGTTAAATTGAACGCTAAAATGATTTTGGTGGCGTACACACATCACGAGCATTGTAAAAGTTTCCGGATTTCTCATAACCGTACGGACATAGTTTTTACGTGTTCCGATGTTTACATAAATATGTCGGCTTGTTGTCGGTGTTCAGCGGGACACCAGAAATGCCGGAGGAAAGAGACGTGGGAGAGACTGCGAAGACGGCACGCGGACAGGCGGATGACTGTGAAGCTCGCGGAACCAGTGTGGGTAGCGGCCGCGGCGGAGAGCGGAGACCCGGCCCAGTCGGGGCAGACGGCGACGCCCGACCGGCCGGTACGACCGGATCGGCTGACTTTGACCAGCGAGTGCTGCGCCGACCGGCAGAAGATCGGCTACGAGTTGCCCAGCCCGTCGGCCGTGTCGTTGAACGGCGGCGACGTTGTGCCGGAGTTGGCCAGCAAGAGTTCGTCGGCTCCGCATCTGATCAAGTCCACGCAGACCCTGCCCAGGACCAAGTACGACGGGTCGCAGGTAATAGCACTACTGATGCGGCGGCGCAGGGGGACGGGGCAAATTTACTAATTATTATTATTATTATTATTATTAGTTAATCATACGCTAATCGTTTCGTGTGTCGTTTTTAGGACTGGAAACAACCGAGATGTCACTCGGAACGATATTTATCAGGTAACATTTCAACGTTGTTGTTATCACTATCGTTAACATTTATTTTCGTCATCATCGAGCTGACGTGGAAACATTCGTTTTCGATGCATAACCGGCGTGTACGTTGTCGTCAACGCCTTACACCTTCCTAATCGAGAAACGAATGCAAAGTTGCAATTCCCGATGGTTATCTTTTACGGTCTCGACAATGTGCACGTTGCGTACAATAATTGTTTTATGGCTCGTTTAACGGCACCGAGCCGCTCTACGGCTGTTCGTCGGTTGGTGTATTGACATTAGCAACAGCGTTCCGACCGATAGCCATTACGATAGAGCACGCGCTTCACGTGCAACGTGATCACGGTTGACCGTCGCGTTCTCGGCCATCTCGGAGAATTTAATCAATCCGTTCCTTCGACGCGGATACTTTCGATTTAATCAACGGTTGTTCGTAAAATAATGTTATAATTTGCTACACACCTACCCGCGCGCGCGCGCGGTTGATCGCATTACCGCCGTATTACGCACATTATTATTATTTATCGGCCGGTATATATTATCGGCCCTTTTGCGTACGCGACACGACGCTGGTCGCTGGGCGCCCAGACACGTTTTTTTCTTTCCTTATCGCACGAGGACGAAATTATGCATTGAGCTTCGAATCGAGTCCCACTCGTAGTTTTCGGCTGTTCCCGTTCAGTCCGACGAGTTTTCTTTCTCGAGTTCCCACAGTTAACGTCGGCCACGGATCGCGAAAATTATTAGACAAGATTTTTTCAACATCAAACATCGCTCTTGATCAGGAAACCCTGTTGCCAAGTTGTTTGTTGTAATATCCATAGGTCTCGAAGCGTTTTGGGTTTCAAGCGCACATTTCGGTGATCTTCAACGGAGCAATGAAATTGTAATATTTGATGAACGAGTTTGACAAACGTTTGTTTGTTTGATTAGAACCGCGTCTTTTGTCGTCAGAGTTCAGAGAACAGTCATCGTCTTTGTATTCATTGTGTAGAAACTTTTATGGTCGGGCAGATATACTCGTATATATCCTCCACGGTTCTTACCACTGTCACTAATTCGTTGTTCGCTGAGCAATTTTTCGTCACACTTCTAATAGTTGCGGTTCATCGCGATAATTATCTAAATAATTCATCGTTGTGTATTTGTACCAATTGGAACGTGTTAAGAAAATCATACCGGACTCGATTTAAACTCAGTAAAAGTAATCCGGGACTCAATATTCAATGTCGCCCATACATACAGGCGTCTCCGCGTTATAGGTGGCACGCCGTTGTGGACCGAGAAGCAAACAACGTGTTCGATGTTATCCATACACCGTCGGTACATAATACTATAATTGAAGACTAATAACATTCGGGTTGATCGTTTCTCCGTCGGCGATGGGCAAAGTGTCGGGCTGTTCGTAAGATGCGTTTAGCAGCGCAAAATCGTAAACATGCACCCGACATCGAAACGTTTCACCCCGACAACCGTATAAGACACACCTATAAAATATATCGTGTTTACGTTTTCGCCAAACATGCGCCGCGGTGCAATTCTCGTTCGTGATAAATGTATCCAAAAATAAAATGGCATTGGTCGCGTCGACAAACCGACGGTATACGTGCGTCTGTCGGCGGCATAAACTGTTTACGAGAAAGTATCCCTAGATAGTGTATCTATCCCCATTCCACATGCAGCACGAAAAGCTTAATGTTATTATATCAGGCGGCCGGGTGTGTTTTTACCCGTTGGCGTATCCAGGGAGGCCACAGGGTATGCAACTGCATACACTGAATGCCTATGTAAACAACAATTTATATTCTATTTATTTATTTTCTTTTGGAAATTGCCATTTTTCTTTGTAAGTTCACTTTTTACATGTACAGTTAACCAAGTGTACGGGTGATGTTAACCTACTTGTTGTTTACAAGTATTCGGGTAAATACAAGTAATATCAACACGTTGTATATTACAACCGCGATTAAAAGTCCTCCGATTTGCAACGTTATTCTCGTATATGTTCGATTAACCGATATATAATGTATACAAATATATTTTAAATGGGAGGGGCTAAGCACGTTTTTGTTCAGGTTAGGTCAAAGAGAATTCGAGAGTTCACCTTTTACCCCCCTCCCCCTTACCAAGTTTATTTATAGCTCCCTTTGCCCCCCTTTTTGGATTACGCCACTGATATGCGCTTCAAAGCCGACGTGTCTACGTACATTGTTACGAGCTGATAATATGGTAACTTGATTCGTAATATCGATTGTAATGTCGGATACCTGCGATAGTAAAATAATACGTAATATATCGATCACGTGGCGTATCCGAACGTCATGTATTTTTCGAGAACGACTATGGCTTATCGGAAATTATTATTTATTGTTCGAAATCGATTGCACGTTAGATATATTATGTCGCGTACGCAATTTAAACGTATACATTTTACTAATGTTAAAACATAGGAGCGCTTGTTGTTCGAATTCAATCTCGCCTAGACACCCCACCGCGCAAAACAATGTTTCCATTCTACTGAATATAAACATATTATAGTAACTCGTAAGGACTTTGTAACGGTGCCGTACGACGGATACATGATGAATGCGTTTCACGTGTCGCGTTTCGCGCCGCACACATTGTTCGATTGTAAAAAAAGACGTGTGCCCCAAATCGTTTTTTCCGAGACGTATTATATCGCCGCGGTTCTAAAAATCATTTTGTATATCTTTCAATCGTTATGATTTCAACACAATTCAACACGCGCTTACAACGGTTGATCTACTACGTTTGTGATTTTGGAGCTTTAATCGACATTTCCTAAACATTCAATATTTCAATACTGGACATAATATCGTACGGATATAACTCTGTTCGCGACATTCATATATGGCCAAGCCTTCCGTTCCATATAGGCCTCCTTTCAATCTCTTTGTCAAATAATATACATGCCATGGTACGTCTTTAATATATCATTTAACAAAGATCTTCAGATTAAAACTGTTTCTTTTACAGCTCAAAAAAACTATAAAAAATTCTAATCAATTTATCACACAAATCCACTAGTATTCAACGTATCCAACGAATCTATCCCAGATAACCTTCCGTGCCGATTAAAAAGACACCGCTGTCGTGATCTTCTAAATCCTGACTTGTATTAGTTAACCAAGTAAACTTCTTCCCCTCGAGTTTGTGGGTATCCACACTAGTAGACCTGGCTTCCCACGTTATTTCATGTTCCTGTATTATGTGTTATCAAACTTACTTATTGAAGAGAATATTACAGATTGTAAATATACTTTTATTTAAATAAAAAAAAAAAAACTCTGTTCGCATTCATAGGAGAAATAATTAGCGAATATAGGCATAAAAATACTAAAAAAAAAAAAAAAATTGAATAAATATAGAGAAATGTTATATGGTTATTATAATTTTATACTACCATGCAGCGTTACAAAAGTATTGTATTTATAAATTCATAATAGGTGCGTACAAATTATCAATGTTTATAAACCAAATAAATGTTAAACACGCTCACTGCCACTGCCATTTCTATATTCATTATTGTTGAAAGCAAATATATAATTTATCGACAAGGATTTTTTTCAACTATCAATATTCGAGACAGTATTAATATTGTCCTCGTGCTGACGATTACATCTAACAATTCGATTTACAACTATATTTATTTCTTCTTTAGAACAATTTCACATTTCGCACCGTCTCGTGTAGTTTATTTAACAATTGGTCATGTTTTAAGTAAATTCGATTAGTACCGCCTATGTTACTTTTAATCATGTTTCTTACAATGTCTATTGAACCAATTTATATGAATAAACATTTATAAAATGTTTGTGCGCATTTTAACAAGACATATTTGGCAAATTGATCCGCTGAAAACAACCATACACCCAATGAAAACAATACAGTATGTAAACGTATGTACGTTGCAAATTAATTCTATCTTTGTCTAAAAGCGCTTTTTTAATAAAAAAAAAAACATTATTTTAGTTCACATGATGGGTGTCTGGTATAGAATTAGTATATATTAATAATAATAGATAAAAACGAGTATTTTTGTATATTTTTTAAGGGATGCGGGTAATAGTCGGTTATTCCATCAAGCAATTATAAATATATATATGTACCTATGTATCTCGAGAAACAATAACTTACTGTTTGATTTTTAAACGAGAAATTGCAGAGTGACGAATACATATATGTATGTATGATATTTCATTACTTTGACGCGTATACCAATATATAGTACATCGTGTTTAAATAGGAGATTCCGACCGTCTGTGTTTATTCAAGTGATTAGACGAACGAAATATGTTAATATGCAAACTCATTATAATATACCTGTAGACCATTGGACAAATTATTAATACATACTTCTAGTGTTATCTTTGTCGCGTTGTGTCATTGAGTGTTTTTGGTTTTTTTTTCCCCCCGTAATGGATCGTGATATATGAACACAATTATTATAGGTAGACGCAGGACCTGATATACATGCCCCGAGGATAATATAAACGTTTGCATTAGGCCTATCAAGAAGTAGGATTTTTCATTATTTTAACCTTTACATAATTAGCCAGCTTAAAATCCGCATACTATTAAAAGCAAAATGAACACGGTCCTTAAGTACAGACCAAGAGTAAAAATATCAATTACAATTGTAATCCGTGTTATTAATTTACGATACAGTATAAATAGTTACTGATAGTATAAAGTTCAACTCCGGTAACCCATAATATTTTGGTTAGTTATACAAGACTTATTTGTTTTTTTTTTTTACGTATATTTTATCTTGCGCTTTAAATTTCATCGATCAAACCCGACGTGCGTGTATATCGAGTACATTATAATACAATATTAATATTGTATACCACATGAAGTGCTAAATGCCAGCGTATAGGTGTTTTCGTACGCGCGGAGACAGGGGAAAAGAGTGAGGTTGATATTGAGTGGGAGAGAGAGAGAAAGAGAGAGAAACGAGGATAGGTAGCTCGTGGTCCTGT